CGGCTACCTGGAGCAGCTTCATGGCCACCAGCTTGAAGCCGCGCCGCTCGAAGCGCTGGATGACGTTCCCCACCAGCCGCCGCTGCACCGCGTCCGGCTTCACCAGCACCAGCGTCTTCTCCTGCAGCTCCGGGGGGGCTGTGTGGGGACAGTGGGGCCAGTGTCACCGCCGGGCACAGGACATGGGTGGCAGCTACGGGACCCCACGCTGCTCCCGGGTCACCGCTCCGTCCCAGCGGGCAGCGGCTGCTGCGGGGTGACCCTGTCCCCATTCCTGTCCCCATCCCGGGGCCATGTCCCCCGGGCCGAGCTGTGCCTGGCAGACTGAGAGGGTCCGAGCAGGGACCCATGGGACGCGCTGCAAAGCCCTGACGGGTGCTGGGGACACGTCCATGGCCGGGAAACACCCTTAAACCCGGCGTGGGACAGGCTGATTCTGGTTAGGGCTGGGCACACCGCACCGCTCTGTCCCGGTGCTGGGGCTGCGGGTGTCACCCCGCGTGCCATCGCTCCTGCCCGGCCTCGGGAGGCAGCCGGGCACCAGCCCTGGCACGAAGCTGCGTGGGATGGTAGGGCCTGGTGTCGCTGTCACCCATAGCGCAGTGGGACTGCAGGGTCCGGCATCGCCCATGCCGCTGGCCCTTGCCGGAGCCACGTTGGCAGGAGGGGACAGAAGTCCCCCAAGGGACGGTGCATCCCGTCCGCTGGAGGAACAGGACAGGGAGGAGAGGGAGGGAGCGAGGACGCCAAGGCAGGGCGCTTCCCTGGCAGCCCCCGCCGTGGAGTCCTGCCCTGGGCCGCGAGCCTGGGCCGCTCCGCGATTTCACCCCCTTTTCTGGGTGGTGCTGGAGGTTTTTTTTGGGTGGGAGGAGCCCCGAGGGGCAGGACAGGCAGTGGACGGAGAGCAGGATGGGGATGGGCACAGGGTGCCCAGAAGTGGGACAGGGATCGGGAGTAGATCCCCAGGAGCAGGATAGGGAAGGGGCTGAGGGCAGCATGGGGATGGGGACAGGGTCCTCCGGGGCAGGATGAGCACAGGGACCAGGTCCCCAGGGGCAGGACAGGGATGGGGACGGGATCCTCCGGGGCAGGACAGGGACGGGGACAGCGTCCCCAGGGCAGGATGAGGATGGGGACCAGGTCCCCAGGGGCAGGACAGGGATAGGGACGGGATCCTCCAGGGCAAGACAGGGATGGGGACAGCGTCCCCGGGGCAGGACGAGGATGGGGACAGTGTCCCAGGGCAGGAGGGGTGCGGGGGCCGGACGGGGCCGCGTCTCACCGGAGCCGTAGCGGCGGT